TGCAAAGTTGTGAGACAAAGGTGCTGTAACACAGATGTCTGCCATAGACATTATATACCTACCTGCATGCTTAGTGCAAGGTAGTGCAAATCATTTGTATCCTGTACCACTTAACTCTTTTAACACTGTTATTCTTTGGCCTGAAGCCAGACCTAAAATATGTCTGATTACTGCTTCATAAAAGACAATGTGAAGGTTCCTTCCGCCATCTTATAAAATGTCCCAGATATGTTTGTATCTCTTTCTTTTTTCCTCCTCCAGAGTTCATGATTTTACATCCGAGTGGGTCAGAGTTTGATAACTTGATGATTGCTAAACATTCCTGAAGTATTAGAAGATTCACTTCATCTGGACTTTATTCTTTTTTTTAAGAACTGAGGGTGGTCTGGAGCAATCACATTTCAATCAAAAAAACATGTTGAATGTGATTGTGGGTTTACATTTCCACACCACCTGTGGGTTCTCAGTATCTAAGCAGAATGCAAGGAGCAATCAAAGGTTGAATCTTTTTTCGGTCTGTTTGAAGTTTTCACTTCTTGGGTTTGGAAAGTCTTGCATCTGTGATTCCTCCAAATGATAGTAAATTCTCCAGTCTATTGCTTTTACTATGGTTAAGAGAAACTCATCTGGTCATCTCCACACAACCTCTCTTTGCTAAAACAAGGTCATTTAAGGGTTCGCCAAATAATGACACAGATAAAATAAATGTGAACAAAGAGCTTAAGAAGCACGCCATGATAAATATTTATCGGAAGCATCTGGAGGGAAAAACCATCTTTGCCTCATTAGTTGTTTTTTTAACTTCTTGTGTCTGAGTGACACATGCTGTTCGTCAGGCACACTATTTGACCAACAATTCAGCTTCCAAAAGTCTTGCACAATGAGGCGATGCTTTTATAATGAGAGATCAAATATGGAACTGTGCACTGCTGACAACTTGCAACAACATGCATTCTTTTACAAATAATAATGGGTTGTGATAATATTCTAAGAGGCTTGAATGTTACATATTTTGGATCATAGAGGCAGAATATCAGCGAATACTTTAAGCATATTTTATTGTTAGCAGATTATTTTAGACTGAATAATCTACTAGTGTTATAATGGGTGGAACAGTTGAAAGTTAGATTTCAACCATAACAGGAAAATAAATCTCTTAGAACCACTTACTGCTTCTGTGGATAACACCAAAGGGAGAGGCGTTTATAAGATGACAATAAACTGGGTCTCATGGGAATTATAGGGTGGGGAAGGGTGTGGAGTCAATTCTTCTCAGCCAAGTTAACCTTGTGAAAAACAGCAAGCATGCCACATGACAAACCTGACATCTTAGTTCTCACCATGCAGTCGGAAAAGCCAGAGTACTGCAAAAATATGTGAGTCACAAAGGCCGCAAGGATGATATTAAACTTTCATACCAGCATATATTTGAATTCGAACTTGTTCACGGTAATGCACTGTTGAAAAAAAAAACAACATCAATTCACTGGCAAGTTGGTTACCAAGTTGATAAGTGCTGGAGCCAAACTTCTCAGATCCATTTCTGTTGTGAAATATCATATTTCCAATATTTCAGTAGGGACATGAACATCATATTCCAGTGAGGACAGTGTCTTCCTTATAGCAAAGACGATCAGTTCTTTTTGTCTTTCTGCTGTAATTGCTACTAAAAAGAAACACATTTTTACTTTTTTTTCTTCTACTTTCTAGTTCTGTTTTGTTTCTCTTCATCAAACTTTTGAACCTGATGAATATGTTAAGGTTAGCTTGTATCCTGACTGTCTATCTTGGATTCTAACACAGCCTTCTCTTGATGATGTCAAATAGGCACTAACCTACATTTTAGAGGAACATAACGTGACCAAAGCTTTTCCGCTGCCATTTAATTATATGACCCGGACTAAATAAGATAAATTTGCTAACTTTCTGCCGACCGCATTGTGTTGGTCGAAAGGGCGTTCTCTGCCCAAAACTCTGCTCTCTCACTTAACATTGGTTGTAGTTAAAATCATGGGTGCTCATCAGCAACCACACAATGTGACTAAATGACCTCATCTATACATCAAAATATAGCCACTGATACACAACAAAAACACAGCTGGGCTGTTACTATGCAGACACAGAAGAAGTTGAAGCCCTGCTGATTAGAAGAGTTCAGTTGCTTTCAAATGTAGTGTGACAGTGACTGAAAACCATATTGTATAATGCCATTGAGACATTTTCGTTGTAACCACACTTGCAAAAAAAAACACATTTGAGAGAATAGCCTAGTTCTGATCTGTGAAACACACACAATTACACCCCAATGTTACCCAACACCCAAAACCAGCTGATTTCTATGACAGAATCCCCCTCTTCTGGGAGATCAGACTGTGGGTGGGGCAGGCATTCCCACAGTGGTACAGTAGGAAGGCTGTACGGTACTGTACGTTAATCATATGTGCAAACAGATGTTTTTAATGACAGAAAGGCTATTTCAGCTGAAGCCTTGAGAAAATGGGGGAAAAATGAGGAATGCCAAAGCAGTGGTCCAATGAAAACACTGTTCAAATTGTGTTTTGATTCCATTCAGATCGTTCAAGGAGGATCTACCTGACCTTTTCATCAAGTATGACCTGAGGCAAAGAAAACAAGGCTTTGTCTAATCCAGAGTTTCATCATGACTCACCTCGTGGTAATGTAATGAGTGATACTCTGCTTTCACAAATACTGATTCTATGTTTCGGGGCAGTATGACAAGGATTTCTCTGTGCCTTATGATTCAGTCAATCAGTATAATATTAGACTGTATATGGGAAGTGGAAAATGTCACCGTAATGTAAACAATCGGTTTGTTTTGCAGCCTTAAGTTTGGCATGTTTGGCACAGCCATTTAGCAGTTTTTAGAAAACAAAGGTGTCAAAATTAACATTTAATGCAGAGATGATCCCCCCCCTTTTTAGAAAAATGATTGGCTGCAATATGTAAGTTATTGTTCTTTCTACCCACTAAACAGCAGTCTGTCCTATCTATGTAGTGAGCATTTCTGTATATCTCTAGATGAAAGGCAAGGCCTTATTCCTGTTTTGCTCTGGCACTCCTCTGCCCTCACCAGCTATGTAATTAGGTTGCGATGGGGGGGCCTGACTCTCCTCTGAGGCAGTATCCCGGCTGGTGGCAGGCCTCACAAGGCTGCCTGTACCCGCACAGGCAGAGAGGATACTTTCATAGAGGACTGCACAAGGAATGTACAGACTCAAAATATCAATCATAGCTTTTCGGGAAAAGATCCCGCCAAGTTCTGAGATCACAGATTCAAGCCATGACTGATCCTTTGAGCGAGTGCTGAATGGAGAAGAGAGGTGAATAACTCCTTCACCCATATAGTAAGTGACGGGTCTACAGGGCACAGAAAACCAGAGAGAACAGCAAACTGGACATCTGGGTTGTGATTTAATATTATGGAGGGGGGTTCAATGGCGTTAAGATATGCTGATCTCTTTTGTGCTTTAGATGCTTCCCTACAGCAAACAAACACACAGGTTCCTGATTTTTCGTCCAAATGGTTTCAATTAGGACATCTGACTGGTTCGAGCTACTGCAGAGTTGAAAGGTAACCGCAAAATAAAAGCATATTTCCTTTTATGGCCACCTTTAAGATTTACAGGCACTGATGTGAAATGAATGGCTGGCTCTGAAAGAGATTTATTGTCAGTGCAGAGTATCTCTAATATATGCCACACCAGTGAGGCAGGATTAGAGAAGGGTAGTAGAAAAGCTTATTTATAAGTCCTCCAGGTGTGAGGTTTACCCACCTCTCACTTTACATTTCAAGAAAACACCACATTACATTTTTCATCATATGAAGTTGAAGCTGCTAATAATTACTTTAGTGACAAAACAGTTGTCATATTTATATCAAGGAATGCAATCATTAGCCATTTCAGCACTAATGCAGAGCAGATGATGGATGGATGATGGGGAATTTTACTTTCCCTAAACTCTTTTAACCAGACAAGAGGATTAAAGTGTGGGAAGGGAGGTGAAGTAGGTTTCATAAAGTAACACATCCAGCTGCTTAGGCATATAACAGTCTTTGTACTATTTCATTAGGCCAAAGATTCACTTCACATCAAATGTAGGGAAGTAATTAGACCGGCCATATTCCAGACATGACAAAGATCATTTACTGTTCCAGCACCAGGATTGATGTACTGCCGTTTTTCCTTGTCTACATCCAGTAGTGATAGTGAAAATGGCACCTGAGTTCGCAAAACTGCATTGTAAAGTTTTAATGATTCCAAAAACACAATTTTCCACTGGCAGGTTATGCAAATGATGAGCAGGCCATCTGGCCTTTAAAATGCAGTTAGATACGGTTCTGAGCTCACGTCTAGGAGCCGGCCCGAACCCAGGACCCAGGCATGGAAAATCTTTACAGTTATAGATATCAAGTTGGTTCTCCACCGTCTGATGTGGTCGTGATCAGATCATAGTCTAAACTTATGAGTTGGTTACTTAACTCGGACTGTATAAATATATACGTATAACTCAGATCGACCAAATAATAGAAATCCCAGCATCAAAAAATATTCTTTATGGGCAAAAAAATCTGGTATCAAAATGATACATGAAATATTAGAAATGTCTAAATGTATACAAATTGCCATTGCTCATATGGAAAATTACAATAATAAAACAATGGTCAAAGCAAAAGCTTTACATTACATTTACAAGGAGCATATAATGCACAAGAAGCTTGATATAAACTTTATATGGAAAAGAGGATGGAAAAGTGAGGCAACCCTGAGCTCCAAATTACAGCAGCTTACACAATACTGTTTTTTACCACTGACAAATAAGGGAGTAACAAACGAAATGACAAGAGGTTGCCATCCAAGCCATACAGAGCTGACCTTGTAAAAGACTTAACCTTGCCACAGTGCATTCTCAATGGCATTTCGATTCTAAATAAACAATATAAACTAATAATGAAGACAGTAGTGCGGTCGGATACATACCTGGGACATGGTCAGGTTTCTGTACGAGCTGTTCATTGAGGCAAATTCTTCGACAGGAAGGAGAAGTTGCATTTTGGAGTCAATGTCAATCAGCTGCTCCAGGTCAGAGGGCTCAGGGATGTATCCCTGGCCTGTCGGGACGGACACGGCCCACATATCCCCCTGGAAAGGAAATTATTGCTGAAATCAGTCACGGCCCTGGGGTTTTAAGTCTGCTTTATGCAGTGAAGTAGGGTACAATTGCTTATTTGGCAACTTTGTGACAGTGATGTGTAAAATGGGAAAGAGTTAGAAGTCTGATCTGGCACTTGGTATACACTTCTTGATTGGGAACATGCTTCTGATCACTCTTCTAATAAAAGCCCAAACTTTCCCCCTCAGTGGACACTCCTGAAGTCCTTTGGGACACAGTGGGTCTGTGGTGAGCACATCACAGCCTAGTGATGATAAAATCTTGCAATAAGTTGAAGACGGCAAACAGAAGGTTCTATCAACTGGGCTGAGCACCACACAGAGCCAAGAATGAACAAATGAGATCAACAATTTGCAAGATATATTCTGGTGGAGATTTGAACCATTGCAGTGGTTTACTTGGATGTGTCAGAAAACCTCAATCTCAACTTCAGTCAGGCCTCGGGTTGTCCTTTGTGTTTAAGTCTTCTGATCATTGCTTTAATATGTCAGTTGTTAGATTAAAGGTCACCTAATATGCAAAATCCACTTGTTCATGTCTTTTACACATAAACATGTGTCCCCTCTGTGTAAAGAGATTCTGAATGTTTCGGGAAAAAAGATTCACTCACTTTTAGTCCTGATCCTGATCCATTTCTATAAAAACCTGTCTGAAAATGAGCTGATCAGATTGTGGCCACTTCAATGCACATTATCAACAAATGGTTTATCAAGAGTTAATTAAGTGGAAATCAACAAACAATTAAAATGATAAAAACAACTATCATTTATGTTTTTTTAACAGTTTATTTTTTGCATACATTATAACACTTAATATGCAACATTAAGTGTTTGTTCATGATAACCAAAGATAAGTAAAGGTTAGTAGTTCTAAAGCAGATATTTGTAACACTAAGTTTATTGTTTTGAAATCTTATAATATATAATGTATCGTATTATATATAATTACTAAACTTTGAGCTGTTTGTTAAAGAGTAAAACAACTTTCAACCAAAGATGAATCAATCAATTCATTGTTGATTGATTTTATAAAGTGTTACCACAAATGTTGTAAGTGGTTAATTACATGTCACTTGTTAGAAGCTTTTATCCAAAGCAATTTGGGGTGAAGTGTCTTGCCCAGGGACATAACGACATGCTGACTGCAGTGGGGTTTGAACCTGTGACCCCCTGATCCGAACACCTACAGACAACCCACTACGCCATACGCCCCCATGGTCCATAGAACTATGATTAAATATCTGTCTCTGGTTAAATTAGCACACCATATTTCTGACTGTATTTCATTTGGGAGCCGTGTGGAGTGGGTTATCTGTTCTACAAGCGTCTTTGAGCACTGGGAAAAGCGCTATCAAAATGAAATGTATTATTTACAAGATCTGTTTTACAATATTGACAATGAGGGCGGACTGGGACAGTTTTTCAGAAGCCTGTATCTTGTTATTCCCTCTTTACTTGCTGCCATCAAGATCTTACCTCGTGAGAGAGATGTAACACTTTTTACACTCAACTTCCTAAAATTGTCCCCAAAGAATCTGGACAATATGTTCTTAATCCCGAGCACTTTATAGCCATTATATTGAACAAAGACCGGATCCAAACAAACTCAATCTGGTGCTGAAAGGTGTTATCAGTGTTAATTACTTTGAGCGGTGGGCGTAGACTGTAGTACGGTTTAGAATACTAACACTGCCAGAGTTAAATGTTTTTTGTGTGCACCTTCAGCCCACTCAAAAAAAAGACATGCACGCCCTTGTTTTTCTAGCACTTAAAAGAAACCATCTGCAATCTCACTGCTCTTTTTGTAGCCTTATCACTGGCACTCAGCTTTCTCAATTCATATGTAATTACATCCAATTCCCTCCCATTGTCCCCCCCATACCCTGTTTGGGACCCCTCACAATTAAAACTGTGTACCGTTGGGCTTTTAGTGACGCACGAAGTTGTAATACCTCAAAATCAGGTGTGTGTGTGTGTGTAGGCTCTATGGGGTGCCTTGGGATTGGCCAAACAATTCTTTCAAAAGTGATGACTGTGATAACCATCGCTGTAATTGCTCTGCATTTGTATTTGTGTGTGTGTGTGTGTGTGTGTGTTTGCTTCAACTATAAAGGTCTGCCTTCACCATGCTGTTGCTCCAAGTATCAAAAGCAACAACCTGTTTCTCAAAGTACTTCTGTACATTTGAATGTTTAAGAAAGGCAATGATTCCAAGCTTTTGATAACATTTCCCAATTTGTCAGGAAATGTCATGGTGCTCCAGCAGAGCCTGACTCACATGCTGTGCACCTGCTTTCACCTTAGTACTTACAGAGACATTGTTCTCTGAAGAAATCCATTCAAAGCTACTAGCGAAAAGCAGAAATGTCATTAAACTTGAAGTTCTCCTTTTTGGTTGAAGACAGATGATGTCACTGAGCAAGGAGAAAATAAAGTTTGCACTGAGGGGCTTTTAGCCTACTCCTACAATCCTACACTTTTAAAATCGGAATAGTCTTGCTAACATTTTGTGAAGGGCTGTAGTGGGCTCTGTTTTAGGAATCGATTGGTATATACACACAACGTCATGCTAGCTTGTTGGAAAGGAGGCCAAATGACGCAGCAAAGTCAAAAATAATGGCGAGGGGAAAATGGCCATGGCTCTATCCATGGGGCTCTTTTGATTTAAGAGATTTCTGAATGGAAGGGGGTTCTATGGATACCCACAAATATATTCCTTAACAGACATGTCAAATGTTAACCAATCCCATGCAGTTTTTGGCATCATATTTTCCCTAGAGGTAGCCGTTTCGTTGTAAAGAGACGATTTTTTCCAACTTGGCCTTATGGCATAAAATGACTTGTTGTGACCTTTAGTATAATCACAGCTATATAAAACTTGGCAACCACAAAATACAGAGTTAAGTTATTCAGAGGGTGCATGTCTTTCCTAGGTATACTGACAGTAAGGGGGGTTTGAGCAGGTTCCCTAGCAGATGTTCTCACCACACAATCGCCGAAACATGCAATTCTTGCACAAATCTCAATATGTTAAACGTTTCTGAAAAAGATACGAAAGTCTCACTTTTTACAAACTTGGAACAATTTGGTATCCATTAACATTAGCAGTTGTACCAGATGATTTGACACAATCGGTTAGACATCACTTCTATCAAGGAATTTGATGAATGTGAAAACATGATGTGGAAAGGATAGTTTGTGAATTTTGGAGAACAATCAAAAAAGTGTGCAACCAACTGTTATATTTCCTACAGACCACATTACAGACAGGAATGTCACGGACTCCTAGAAATCTCAGTTCCAGTAAGTCCTAGGTATTTGCTCCAAAACAGAATTCAGGCCATAATGTGAATCATTTAAGCCACATTCCAATATCTGGTAAAGTAGTGAGCTAGTATCTGTCGGGTTGAATCCTAAAAGAACACTATATCTTAAAGAATGGATCTTAAGACTACACTGCATTATATAGTCAATATTAAAGTTATTTTTGTAATTGTTTTAATATAGTTAAAAGGATTTACTGGAGCAGTACCTGGAAGCTTCTTGGCCCAGGCAATCATGTGGACCAGCTCCTTATCGGCCATGCTGGTGAGCAGCGTCATCACGGTGACCTCGGAGTAGGGTCTGCTCAGCTTCTGACGGGAGCACAGTGTTGGGGGCTCTGCACCCTGGAGCAGGAGGAGCACCTGAGGAAACAGCAGAGGAACTATACATCTGAACACCCACTGGCCAATAATATTCAGACGATGCTTTATATTACTTCTCCTTGGCAACAACAAATGTCTCTACATGAATAAGCACCTGGTCAGGAGGCATGCCATTCAGTGTTGATCTTACTCCTCCACCAAAAGCACTGCTGCGCCTCCTCCCGTCCACAGGGGGCACTGTCCTCTGCTCCAGGTCCTTAGAGGCCTTAACTCTATCAGTGGTGTCCGTCCGCGCTTTGTCACGCCGCAAAACACGGCCGCGGTCCTTACGAACACCTTGAGCAAACAGCAAAATAACATGGACGTACAGATACAAAAAACACATGCAGGCACACAACTCTTTGGGCTGGTTTTCTTGCAAATGCTCGAACATAACCTCCTGATTTTACTACTAGGTCGAGAAGTACAGATTTGATGGATGCCTGTGTAATACAAGAAGTATGAAAACTAAATGTGGGTGGGTTTTAATCAGTGGTTGTACTCCTTAAGAGGAAATCACTTCAAGGTCATGTTAAAGTTAGTCTGAAGCTTATCTGCATCCACCAGCGTGCTCATATTTGTGGCCATCCTTTCAAAACTTGAGGGCAACCAAAGTATTTTATTTTGCTGACAATAAAACAATATACAGAGAAGCTAAATTGCGGCGGAAAAACAAATCATTAAATAGACATACAGAGAATGTAACCAAATATCTAGTTAAAAACAAAAGACTAAGCCAAAAGTAAAGCTATAATAACAGAGCAGACTGCACATACATAAAATTAAAATAGAAAATAAAGATATCAACTCTGCTGTCTGCTAGTGTTTCTACCTACCTCCCTTCATCATGCCCACTTCGTAGCACTTCCTAAGACGGCAAGCCTGGCAGCTCTTCCTCCGATTCCTGTCGATAGTACACTGATTGGTTGCTGGGCACATATAGTCATTGTGACCTGGAAGGAAAGAAAATATATTACTTCAAGCCCCCCGCTTCACTGTTGAGTTCAGATTTAGGTTATTTAGTAGTCAGGGACACTCTATTCCCATTTTAAATAGATCTGAGATAGAGAAAATGTTAAAAGGCACCTAGACTTGTTCATCGCCATGGAGACTATTGGTTTCTTTGTGACCAGTACTCTTTTGAAAGACTTAACAACATGCCGAAGCATTATATCACAGAATGACTAGGCAAGCAAATTACATTTCTTTCTATCTGCATAGGCAACAGTACATGTAGGTTGTTCACAATGATCTGTGAAAGACATGACATGCAAACAAAGAGGAACATTTGTTTGTCTTTCTGCATTACGCTGAATTAAGCGTGATATCTCCTCTGAACCGTCTTTTGTCATAGTTTTGGGGGGAAGTGTATCTTTTAATATTGAATTCTTAAGGAAATTAAAAGAAATGTGATTTATTTTTGTTTGAATCCTTCCAAAACAATGTTCTTGCAAAAAATGAAACACTTGTCTATAAAAAAACGTTATAAAAAGAACAAACTTATGATAACAAATGATTGAAAATCTCTCCGATTCACAATGTCTCGATTAAGGACAAACATTTCCCCTGTTTTCTGCATCCGAAAGCTGCAGTTTAACCATTGATGTCTCTGTAGAAGTTACAGGCGGTTCACTTTATTACCATGAGCCTAGTCAGTAATAAGCATAATAAATCACTATCCTTTCAAATCCAAACTTCTGTTTTAACAACATTAAATATTCATTTGTTGGCTGACAGCAAAGCCTATTGTTTTATAAGGCACAGTGCTCCATTTACTTTTATATATATTACAAACAGTTTGAGAACAACAGGTGCAGATCACACGTGTATGAAGTGGACAGAGTACCTACCCTGGATGCTCCTCTTGAAGAAGGCCTTGCAGCCCTCACAGGACCACACCCCGTAGTGATACCCAGAAGCATAGTCGCTGCACACGGCACAGAACCGTGTTTCTTTGACCATCTCAAACCCCCCGGCCCCAGC